TAAAGAACAAGATTGGAATTTTCAATACTACTGTCAAATCAGTGCTTCTGTGCAGTTCAGAGACTTGGCACGTCACAGAAAGTATCTCAGCAGACTGCAGACTTTCATCAACAGTTGCCTTCGCTCCATACTGTAGATTAGGTGGTTGAGAAAGATAAGAAACAGGGAACAAGAACCTATTTCTGAACAAATACGCAGAAAGAAACGAAGACGGATCTAACATACACTGAGGGGACCGTTGAGTTACATTGCGTGCCAGGCGCTTGAGTTGAACCCAAATGGGAAACAACCAGTTGCGGAACTGACGATGATATGGAGAAGATGACACGAGAAGGAAGTGAAAGCATATGAGCAGTCATGAAACCGTCTAAGGCTGACTGAAGAGAACAGGATGTAATGAAGAGGTACTGTTGATGCCTTATGTTCCAGTTGATGAAACCTAGGGGAATAATAATAAAAATAATATAATAATAATACCGTAGCTGAAGTTTAGGTGTGTTTTTTGTACAATTTCTTCTGACTTGTTCGTACTTAAAGGGACTGTGTTTGTCTCCATACAACCTTTTAAAGTAAGATTACAATACAGGCCCTATTTAAGAGTATTATTCCATATTAAGTACCTCTATTTGATATAGCGAATGTATACAGAGAGAGAGAGGATGTTGCAGTATTATTAAGGGGATGATAATCAAAGCACCACTATTCGCTCATGGTCACATTGAAATGTATATCCTGTTAATTATCCTGTATTTTTATGTGTTAGCTATGTCACATAAATTCATCTGATGCAGAATATTCTATCTTTATTTTTACGAGTTGATCACGGATTGATATCAGTTAGAGAACCATTGAAGCTGTAGCAACAGAAGACAAGCACCAGGCAACAGGTCGTTTATAAAGGAAATCAACACATATTTATAGATTTTCATGTACATTATTATAGATTATTGTTAGCAGAAAAACACAGTCTTCTGATTGGTTGTTCCTCACTGAAAGTTAATCTTTCATCCCTTTGTGACTGTTTCTTGAATGTCAGATCATCTATATGTTAACTGTATCCACCTACGCAAAGTCTTTGTTCTTATTTTTCTCACGACCAATATTTGGGACATAAACATTGACGTAAATTAATGTCTACCAATTTGGCTAGCAGTCAGCTCTCACCACAAAACCACCAGGGAGTAGTGGACAGCTGTTTCCGCCTCCTAGTTTGGGAATCATCGGCAGTACGCACTTACCGGCAGGGTTCGAACCCAGGACCTTCAGGTTACAAGGTAAGCTCGTATACTATTCATTGACTGGGACCCAATTCAATGGCCACTTCATGAATACTAACTTCTACCTTTTCGTGATTTGGTGCGACCCTAACCATTGTCGTAGGTGGGATATCCATCCTCACACGTGACATCTGGGTGGACCTTACTGGTCGTGACTTCTCACTAGAACTCCAGGAAACTCCATCCTGCAGCAAGGCAATCCGTGATCAACTCGTAAAGCAAAACTAAGCGTTATATTACCAAACTATAGAATATCTATCTTTATTATTTTGCAAAGGAATTTTAAGTTGTCCAATTGTTTCTTCTTGTTCCCACATCATTTTTAAACTCATTTCTTTTAATTTCATAATTTCACTGTGTACTTTATTTCTCAACTTGAAAGGCATTCTGTGTACTTTTGAACAAAAACTACTCTAATGTTTTTGAAGGGCTAATGCTTTCTTTCTTTTTGTTTCCATTGAGTGGAAATATTGACCGGTAAGCAGGAGGAAGACCTTAAATTTGTAAACAATTATCTTTCGAAATGTCAACTCCCTCGAGTTTTCTTTTCTTTTCCTTGCACACTGTGGTCTGTTTGAAGACTAATACTTTAGAAAATCTTGTCTATGTCAGCTATATTAAATAGTTTTTCGAGGAGATTTTGTCTAACTGGATTTATATTGAATAGATTTACTTTATGATTGGTTGACTAATGTTCTCAAGTTATCATATTTGGTCGATGATTTATGTATCGATTGTTGTTTTGTTTGTTGTTGTTTGTTTGTGAAGCATAATGTTGATATTTACTCACTTTAGCTAATGATTACATTTCATTATTGAAGCAGTTAATCATCGAAATTCAAAAGTAGCCACAAGTAGTAGGCTTCACTTATTCACTAACACATACTCCTAAACTCCTTATAAAGTTGTTCTACTCAACATTCTCTTTTGATTTATACTATTAAGGCTTTACGGTTGACGTATTTGCTGTTGATATATAGAAAAGTGAAAATAACATATGAGGTGTTAGAAACCACTAATACACACTAATAAACTTTAGATGATCATTAGCTGGTGAAACTATCGCCAGATAATTGGGTAGACTATTATTCGTGACATTAAATTGGAAAAACACAAAAATTCACAGTTTAAGGTGAAACTTTACCTCGGATGAGCTGTGTTACAGAAGTGATAGCTGGCTGACAGCCGTTTTTTAGTAGGCAGTCAGTAGTATGTTACTGTATTAGTGAATTGCTTGCATGATTTATGGTATATTCTCACTGGATGATGTTTTCTCTGGAGATATAGGTAGGTAATATTTCAAACTTAGTTTTCTTGTTAGGCCATTGAAAACAACCGAAGACTTTCAACATTGGCTCGTGCACTGATCAGTTTATTCGCTTCAGTTTTACTCCAGAAACTAAACTGTGAGCTGAATAACTCACTAGCAATGACTTAGGTCATACTACTAAATGGTACAGAATTCAGTTTCTCCTTACAAGCTGACTCACTACTCTCAAGTCTGTGTGGAGGTCAACAGGACTCGGCAGGAAAATGAAAATAAGATCCAGATTTTCAACTCCAACGGGAAATCAGTGCTACTTTATGTATCAGAGACTTGGCGCGTCATTAAGAGCACCTCAAACAAACTACAGACCTTCATCAACAACTGTCTTCGCTAAATACTCAAGATAAGATGGCCGACCAGAAAAGATCAGCAACAGGGATCTCTGGCAGTGAGCGAACCGACACAGCAGGAACCGATTGAGGAAGAAATAGAGGTGGATTAGACATACTCTGAGAAAACCATTAAGTGAGCGACATCACATGCCAGGCCATGGCTCGAGTGGAAGCTGACCGAATGGGAAGCGGCGAGTTGGTCGTCAATACGAGGGTGACATGAAGGAGGTGATGTGAAGAGGAGATGAAAGCATGTGGGCAGACGTGGGGCCAGGTGAAAACGTTGGCAGAGAACCGAACGCAATGGAGACGTGCGGTTGAAGCCGTATGTTCCTCTAGGAACTAAAGGAAACAGTAATAAAATAATAATAATTACAAGCTGACAAATATACTTTGTTGATAAATGATTTCAGTGGAAATCATCTAGGTTCAGGGTTTTATAGTGGTTTTGATGTACACAAAAAAGTTGACTTTGTTTCAGAAACACTGAGATAATGGATAATTATATAATGACAGAGCGTAGTCTCTTTTTTTATTATATAGCTTTAAGGAAACAAATGTGTGACTTTTAGTTCAGATAACTTCAGAGAATCGTTGGTTTTAAAGTTATCAGACTAAATTACTTCCTGTTATTACTCTCACTTTCGACTGTAGTTCTGGTTGTTTACCAGTGTTTGTGTGTGTATGTGTTTATAAAGTCTTGTCTTGTAGTATTTTCTTTTTTTGCACTTTTATTCTGCTTTGAGATTATAGAACATTCTGTGTAATAAGCAGTAATACTTCCTGACTGTCATTCGAGTATTGTGTTTCCAGTTAGTAAACCATCATAGTGTTTGAATTAAGTATGACATAAAATTGCTTGTAATCTATTCTAAAGTGTGAAGTTGCTGTCTAAACTACGTCTTAACATTAAGGAAGACTGTATTGATATCAGCCTAAATGTGAAATTACATCCGGTAATTTTATAACTTTTGATTAAGTCTATTTTAATGTGTGTCCTGTCTTTGTTAAGTACAATACACCACAAAAATTAATGAGAAGAGGTTTTTAATTGTGATCGGTTTAAGCGAAGGGTTAACCAACACATTCATTTTGTCTGTATCCTAAAGTTGAATATTTGAACACTACTCTCCATCGACTTCATCAGGCTTACACCAGATGTTTTAACTTTATGTTACTTGTGTATAGATGTGAAGAAGAGGAAGAATGAGTGCTGGAGTTGAGCTATCTTTCTACGGGATATTTTTTGAGTCAGTTAGTCATTCATTTCGAATTCTTTTAAAAATAGAAGTTTTGTTCACCTTTCGGTAGTTACTGTTTGAAGCATGAATGTCGCTTAGCTTAATTTTCTACTTTCGTATTCCTAGCTCAGCAGAAAGTACTCATAACCGAAGGAGTGAAAGTGTGCTAACCACACGTACTTGCTCACTTTCAACTGTAACTGAATGAATTTGTATCACGTTTTGAAACTGTAGTATGACGCAATACTTTGTCACCTGAAGATAACTAATTCTTACTATTGACTAAAAATTATTCTACTTGCTCATTAATTGATGTCGGTAGTTGGACTAACATATCAGTGTTACTTAAGGTATTTTATATTCTAAGTAACACTGAAGTCTCCGATATCACTCACTGTTGAATCTTTCTCGCACCTGTCGTTTTGCATGATTAGTTCAGTGTAGTTTATTTGCTTATCAGTCTTATATCTGCCAATGTATTTTCAATAGTATGTATTTTCCCGTATGTAGAGTGTTGAGCTGAAGAGTTCTACCGAAATTTGATGAATTCATTAAATCCTGTTTTTTGACCTTTGTTGCTTGTTCTGTTTTTATTTATTTGACCTGAACTTACTTGGTGTTATATTCGGTTGACGGTGGCTAGCAGAGGAATTCAAGTCTCACGTTTCGTCTTACATGAGACTTGTCGACTGTATGTACTTGCAATCTAGTGGATGACGGTGTCCCTACTAAGACTCAGATACGTCAGAGACACATTGGCTGAGAATTTTTTTAAATAATTACAAGCACTTAATTCTGTTCGCTTTACTCTTTCTTTCTCCAGATGCACTATCTGTCATTAGTCGTTATTTTGAAGATTCGGTCTTTGTAAACAAAATTCTAAATGTTGACACTGATGGTGAATATAATGCCGGAAAACATGAAGATTTAATATTCCTACGTAGTTTCCTGGAAAGTTCATCTTTACGTCAATGTCTTACAGTAAGTGTTGGAAAAGTTGTATTTAATTTCTTTAAGACAATCAAATATCTTTATTGTAGTATAAATAGGCATCTTTTGGACGAAATGGTTACTTTTTAAAAGTAAATATGCATTCATGCATTTATAATTCAAACGATAGCATATTATCCCAACACTTCCTATTCGAGTTAAACTAGAGGGAGTGATTGATGCGTTATCATACGCAACGGTCTCTTCAGCTTGTTGTCAAATCCGTCTCCATTTCCTTCTGTATATTTGTCGGGTAATAGATTCTAGGTTGCTTCACTGTGTTCCTTTCTGGTTAGCCATCTGATCAACGCTGTCGAGCCACTGCAGACAAGTCGTTGATGAAAGTCATCAGCGGGCTGTTGGAAATACTGCTTTGGTGACAAAGGCACCAATTCTCTGATGTGTACAGAAGCAGTGATTTGACTTCATTACTGAAAATTCGGGTGCCGTAAATTTCCACGTTAATTTCAGAGTAATGAAGTTCCGTCTTACTCTTACGATCATAACTGGCTTTTGAATCCTTCTCTTACAGCAGGTCGGGTGTGAGGACAAATTCTCACCGATGACATTCGCTAATGGTTGCGCCATATCGTGAATTGGCAGGAGTTGAGATTCATGCACTGACCATTGGATCGGATCCCAGTGGCTTAATGGTCTACGAGCTCGACTGGCTACCAGAAGGTCCTTGGTTGTAACCCTGACCGTGGTGCGTACTGCTGAAGAGTCCCAAATTGGGCTGACGAAACATCTGTTAAGTACTCCCAGCTGGTTTTCCAGTGGTCCTCTAACTACTGTCAGTTCGTGATGAAATCCTTTTACATCCTCATTGAGCATAGTTAGGAGAAATCTTATTATGTCTAGGGTGTGCTTCATAGGTCCCATACTTAAGATGATGCTTGTTCCTTCTGACTGATTTACAGGTGCACACAGTAGTGTACACATATATATTCACTTCTTTTTATTACTTTTAAAATTTAGTCTTTTTCCTTCTTATTTTGTAGTATTTCAAGGTACATCAATTTGTACCAATGCATTTCTCTGTGTGCAAGGTGCTTTCGTAATTTGTTTACCAGTTCAGTTTTGAATCCTCAGGGGGAATTAAAGTGTTAGAGGAGGTATTAGTGTATTTTTGTGTTGAAGTTGTACTACTGTTCACTTGGATTTATCGTTGTGATGTGTGAAGTGGCATGGAAATATATTCCATAGTCTATTTCATTACCACTCATCCCTCTGTCTCTCACTATTTGTATACTGTTTATCTGTTTGATGCATCACAGTATTTATTTCATTGTGTATTCATGCTAACCATATTCATATGTATGTTATTCTCCCCCTCCCCCTGAATTTATATAGTTGATTGATTCTCTTGTTGATAATGACTCGAAATCCATCGCTGAACATCTAAGACCTAATAATCAATCACTACGAGATAGTTTGAGAGCTTTGTCGGAGCTATGGACAGAATTAGAAGAGTTTGTTATGCGAACACAAGAAAAAGATGAACCAGAGGCACATGAACTATATGATCTTTTGGCAGATATTCATATTAGGGTAGGTTTAATATTTTTTTTAAATATGTATACGCTTTCATTCCTAAATTGCAATCATTTAATGGCTGTTTGAAATTTCACAACCATGAGGTGATATATAGTGATATTCCAGTAGATGAATACTCTATGGCATTACACTTTCTTCCCTTTGAGCAATCATGGTTGTTTATCCTGATTGAACTCAGTTACACAGAAACATCTGTTATATTCTAGGTTAAAAGCCACACAATTATTGATACTACACAGTTGCTCAGACTGAGAAGTAGGTGGAATGCAACTGGTTTCTGGAACATACTGGCTAAAACTCAGGTACTTGAACTAACAAGTCATATCTTCGAACTATTTTTAGTTTCGTTCGATTTTGATTTTAAGTACAACCAGTTGAAATCAATGATAGAAAATAGTTTCTCTGTAAAGCAGAAAAGCAGAACACGTTAGTGTTCATATGATGCTCACTAGTGACTGGCGCTATTCAGGCAGTGACCTGAGGTTCTAGTGGGAAGCCGTGACCAGTAGGGTGCAGCAGGTTGAAGCTGTGAGGCAGTAACTCATAGAAGGAGACATTGCGAAGTGGTCGTGCTATGTCATGAATTGGCAGAAGTTAGAATTCATGGGCTGATCGTGGGATTGGGTATCAGTAACTTAATGGTCTACGAGCCCGCTTGTCTTGTGACCAGAAGGTCCTGAGTTCGAGCCACACAGTGTGGGTGTGTACTGATGAATAGTCTCAAACTAGGCTGATGAAACAGCTATCCAGTACTCCCAGGTTGATGTCATAATCAAGTGTCGGTTTGCAGGGATTTGACTGGTTTCAGGATTTCATCATGAACTGACATTGGTTAGAGAACCATTGGAAGAACTGGGAGTACTGGACAGCTGTTTCGTCCTAGTTTGTGACTTTTCATCAGTACTCACCCACTGAGGTTCGGAACCCAGGACCATTGGATTGAGTCCTAGCGGCTTAATGGTCTACGAGCTCACCTTGTAACCAGCAGGTCGTGAGTTCGAACCTCAGTGGATGCATACTGCTGAAGCATCTCAAACTAGGATGAAGCATCTAGCTGACAAGTACTCTTAGATTTTCCAATGATCCTTTAACCGATGTCACTTCAAGTCGATATCATAAATTGGATAGTCAGTATAGATTCTTGTATCACTTGGTTTGTCTGATTCTTATCACTTTCCGTCACTGTTTTGCCTTAAAGTCAGTTATCCGCCAGTTATTGACTGGTATTCCTTATACCCTTTATTTACTAAATCAAATATAAGTTATCTTTGTTGGAAATTGTCAAGTAATCCTATACAGTTATCATAAAGTCTAAGCATTCACGTTGTGTAAGTCTTCACCTTAGTACATTAGTGCCTATGATCCTAAATGTAACAGCTTTTCGCATGACTCTGTTTTCTATGCAATGTTACATTAACTATACGCAGCATCTATATTAGCTGTAATTTTCTGCTCTCAGAAACGTCTAGGAGACACAGTTATTGTACTTACAGTCTGTGTTTTTTTTGTCGTAGACATCTTTCTTGTTTCATGTTATCATTATTATTATTATTGCTGTTGTTATTACCTAATGCACTTATTTGACTAATACACTTATGTTCCGACATTGTTTCTTTTTTTTTCTGCATTTGTTGTTATTCCGCCGCGTCTCATGATATTTTGAAAGCATATTTAATATGTTGAATAAATTGTCGTAGACATACAACACCATAAGTTTAATATTTTACAGAATATTCCTTGTTGAAGTATGCTTTTTCTTCTAAAGACTAGATTGTCACAGTGAATATAAAAGAATTAGTGTGTCTGAAATACTCCTACCTTTCTCTGACTGCGGCACTGGGTGATGTGGGTTCGAATCTCAGAGGAGAGGGAAATGAGTTTCTTCAAGGTTGCAGATACGCCTTGCTGACTGTTGAGTGCCAACTAGGACAAAACCTTGGTCAAGCAAGGCTTCCCACCGATTGCCTTCAACTACCTAACATCAACAACACAAAGTCTACAGTGATGGCGAGCTACCTAGAATGGTGGTCACATTGCAAACTTGACTGATAGAACTCAGTCTGCAGTAAACATAGGACTAGACACATCACACTAGTTACTGACTAGTGTCCAATTAAAGTATACCTACCTTTTTTATGTATATTTTAATAATACTATCTATTTTGATTGAAAGTTTGCAACAGTTGAACTTGACATGCATATGACCACTTCTTTATCCTTTGCTCTATACTGTTAGTTCATTTAATTGAATATTTTTGCAGATAAGTTTATGTTAGTTTTAGTTTTTGTGAACTGTTTTATCGAGTATTGCGTTTTTAATAAATGATTTCATTTATTTCTACAGGAATTATTGGTTGCCTACGATGATATTGCTAATTTTCGGTATGTGAGTGAAGATATTGACCTGGTTGCAATTCCTTTCGAGGTTAGTATACAATTGTGATTTTTTTTTGAAACTAGAGCTTATCACTCTTAACGCAGGTTCAAACCCTACTCCACGTACTGACACTTAAAGCAACTAGGACTGTCATATGCCTCAAAAACAATAAGTGTTTTTATATATGTATGCTTTTGGATCAACCCAGCGATCCGGTACACATTCATATACTGGTTAATATAATCGCATTTGCTATTGTAAGACATAAGTTGCTTTATGTGTTAGTGTGGGATTCGGGCACTGTGACATAATGTAATTCTGTATTAGATAAGTTTGTTTGAGATGACACATAGTCAGTGATACTGTAATAATAACTGGATAATGTTTTGAGCAGAGTTTATTACTCAAAATCGTATCAGTGTACTCACATGACTTGATAACTTGCTTTACATAGTCCTCCTACTCTCTGCTATTTCTTTTTCTTTCGGATTTCCACCTATCTGTTTTAAATGTTGGGTCATTTAGATTGAACGTTTATGGTGTTGATTCGATGAACAAAGATCCTGTGATTAACCTCTTTCTCCAACTGACTATATTACTCATCAATACTTTTACCTTATTTCAGCCTATTGTATCACATGTAGGCGAATGAATGCGTTCCAATGGTCGGGCTTTTTTCCAAATTACTTGACTTAGCAGGGTCAATCATTCTTTTTAGCTCAGATAGGATGGACTAGGTTGGACTATAGCTAGTGGTGGTCAAACCAATATATGGCACCAATTAGTTGAAGCCAGTCACGTAGGGAGGTGTAGACTTCCTCACTGGTTGGGATCCTCAAGGATGGCAAAAACTAATGAAGGCTGGGGACAATTTGTGATACGTCTCAAAGTCGTTCTCAGTGGCACAGGTTTATCCACTCCTTGAATCCCTCTTTATTCTTGCTTTGTGCGCTACATGGAGGGAGTGTGGCAACTTGAACTGCTGCATATCTGCGCAGAGTTCTACGTTGAAAACAATCCGTCAGTCATTCAGTCATTTTAGATCTAGCTAATTTCCTATACTTCAGTAATCTAAGTGACTTCGATCTCCTATTTTGACCTATGTAATTGACCTCATAGTTATTACACAGTATTTGGTAAATGACATTATTTTTTTCTTTGATTGAATCTATCGGGCACTTAAGCAAACAAAGTTTGTCTCGTAGTGAATTCCACAGCCTTACTAAGAGTCCTGCTTAGGGTTTCTGATTTTCCTTCTCTATACGACAGTACTATGAAGGCTTTGGATTGTATGTTAATTATATTGTTTTCATTATTCACATTTTTCTATTCCTTTACATTCCCAGTGGAACATAGGGCTTCAACTAAAGCTTTGAATTTTCGGTAGCAGTGTTGTTTATTTTTACGGGATGGGATTGCTAGCCTCATGTCCAACCTTTCCTCTTTACCAGTCTTATTACTGGCCTAGCGAGGTAATGGAGTGCGTCTGCGGCCGGGGATGGAACATCGAACCACCTGAGGGGTTGGCGAGCATTCTACCGCGGTGTCACTGCCGCATCATTATTCACATTACTACTCTTATTTTTCTTATGAGCCTCCATACACTTTTGAGTAAGATTTGGTGGGTGGGTAGTTATTCAATAGTAATGTTTCCCTCTTTTGTTTGATTTCATTATTTAAATCTCTCAACTTGCTGATTAAGATCTTGGCTTGATTACGTAAACACCTTCAGGAGTTTTTGATGGGATGGATCAAAGTTTTAGTATACATTAAAGTGTGTATCGGTTTTCTATAGGTACTAGTCTCTAGATGAAGCGGGATTTTTGTCGAGAACGCATTTCACAAAGTGTGTATATCATCTCAGAGCTGTATGAGCTTATATATATATATATATCTTCTTTCTTTTCACCTTGGAAAAAGGATTATGATCCTGTTCAAATGAATTCATCACCACATATACCTCATCAACGCAATACTTCAAAAGAAAGAAATAATATCAATAAAACAGCTAATGGAGAGAATAATTTTGAAAGTTCTATGGAATCTTTAGATTGTAAAGTCTTCCATTCCGATTCAGTGAAAAATATGTATGACAAAGATCCAATTAGCGAAGTTGTCCACGGTGATGCTGTTGACAGTAATATTCCACCTATGACTAAAGATAATGACGACGATGATGGTGACGATGAGGAGGAGGAGGGGGAAGAGGAAGTTGATGATGAAAATACTGTCCTACACAATCGTGACTCTCATCATTCTGTACAAACAATTATAAATAAATTCGAACCATTAAATCCAGAGATTCAAACTAAGCGTGCTGAAGAGAAATATACACCTGGATCAAATAATTTAATGAATAGATCATCTTCAGTGAAGGATATTCAGGTTAGTGTTACTTTATGCTTGAGTACTAAGGGTGTTTTTTTTTTAGAAAAAATGTAGTTTTTGAAAGAGGTTGCCTCCTTCACTTATCTAGGAAGCATCGTTCCAACTACAGGCGGAACGGATGAAGACGTCGAAACAAGCCAGAAACCAGTTTGGAAATCTTCTGCACTGCACTCAGCGTAAAGAACAAGATTCAGATTTTCAACATAAATGTGAAGTTGGTACTTCTTCACCGGTCAGAAACTTGCACTGCATGTCACGAAAAGGATTACCAACAGGTTGCAGACTTTTATTAACAGCTGCCTTCGTTCCATACTGAAGATATCATGGCCAGAAAGAATAAGTAACAAGAGACTCTGGCTGGCGACAAACCAACCAAGAGCCGATTGCTCATCAAATATGTAGGCGAAAATGGAGGTGGATTGGGCATACATTGAGGAGTCCGTCGAATGACATCGTGCTCAATGCAGACCATCACTTGAGTGGAATCCCAGTGAGAAGCGACAAGTGGGTCGTCAGTGTGAGGGTGACATTGAGGAGATCGGGAGAGTTGGAGGACAAGGAGGAGATGAGAGATTATAGGGAATCGTGTGGCTAGCCAAATGAAGAGCATAACGTTGAAAACAAGAAAGTGGAGATATGTTGCTGAAGCTTATGTTCCACTAGGAACTCAAGGGAATAATAATAATATTTCCTAATAAGTGATTGTAAAGGAATCAGTTTTTTCCATTTTACTGAATAATGATCCATAGAAGTAAATCAGTGTTATAAGGTACACCCAATTCAACTATAATCATCGATTAATGAACGTAACTAATGACTAAAAGATTATCTTACTTAAGATTTTATTCATATATCCAGAAATTCGGGGAAATTGAAGTTCTTTTATAAAGTTTATCGCTTCTCAAGTGCTGGGTTTGTGTGAATTTGATTGATTTCACGATAGACTTCATTATGGACCGAAATCAGTTAGAGAAACATCGCAAACCAGGGAATTCTGGACAACTTTGTCAATTTGAACTGTATACATAATTGAAGCTATGAAAGTCTGGTATACCTTCAGTAGATGTGTCTGTATAGTGGTTTATTACGAGTTTACTGTACAGCTGTGTGTTTTATTGAAAGTGAAAAGTGTTCACTATTGGAAGTCAGCTTTTCGTCAATATTAGTAATTACCTCATATCTCTATTCTCTAAATAATAAGCGGTTTGAAATCGTTATCTCCTACATTCTACCTTTGTATTCGTGTGCATTATTATTTAATTCCTTTGAGTTCCGAGTGCAACGTAGGGCTCCAATCTTGGACTCTAAAGTTCCAGCAGCAGTGCGGTTTGGTAACCTCACATCCAACCTTTCCTCTTCACCAGGCTTACTACCGGCCAGGAAAGGAGTGAACTCCAGACCACATGCATAGTTAGAAAGAAGTCTACCGCCGGTGAACATTTTTGTGTATTACTAGCTGATTATTATTGGTAGATGTGTATGTATATATACTGACTGTCAGTTGGGAGTGACACCGTTTTTACCGTTGATCTCTGTTAGTTGAGGACTACGCAACAGTTGGAATAACGCGACTTTTACAGTTTCTCTGACTGGATGTTACATCCTTGAAGGTACCTGCCAAAGTAGGTTTAAAACAATATGTTTGATCGAATGTTTACGATAACGAGTATGAAATTATTCTGAAGAATTGCAAAATCTTTGCGTCTGTTCAAACAGTGTACGCACGTATACGATAAGGATAAGGAATCACAGTCGGATCGGGGTTAAGACTTGAACTGTAATTGTATTTTCAGTTGTTTTTTGTTTGTTTTTCGATTGTTGCATTAAAAAGTAAGTTGTTTGCGGTTTACAAATCTTCGTCAATTTCTATTGCTATTGATCTCTGCCGTTTGATATAATTTAACTGAGAATTAAACTGCTTTTAAACATTTTCATTTTTATTCTCTCTATAGAAACCTGTTTCTCCAACCAGTACAGTTGAAACTAAAGGTCGACAGTCTGAAAAACCATCGCCTAAATCACCTAAATCAAGATATTCTAAAGATGTTCGTATTAGAACAGATTCTGATACTAAGTTAACTCGTCCTACTTCATCTCCAAAGAAAACGCCTACAACAAAAACTGGGAAATCAAAACATTTTCATGGTTCCGACAGTACACTTCAATCACCTGATCTTAATCAGAACAGAACAAAGTCTTTTCTAGGCTCTTCTGATGGAACACAAAGTTTGCCTAGAAATCATGGTCAGTCTTCCAGACACTCACGGCGTACTTCTAGTCAACCGAGTAAATTTCCACAACCAGGAGTACCAAGACAAGTTCATTTGCGACGTGATCATCCTGGTGAAGATTTAGGCATTACAATAGCACTTCGAACACCTTCACCAACTCCATCTTCACCGACATATTGCACTAGTGTCACTGTACAATCTATTTCACAACCTGTTATATCGATTCAAAGAGTATTAGCTGGTTCATTGGCTGATAGACAAGGTAAGATAATATTTGATGTTTATAAAAGTTTAATTTGAACTTGAAACTTTTCTCAGTTACACGGTCGTATTTCTGGATTATGAATACCATTTTTTGAGTACACATTCTATCCAATATAATCGTCCTCCTTTTATATACTTCATTCTTTTCTTGTGTTGTTTTTCCTTGTCAGCGTGAGGAACAAGCCTGTGAGATTGTGACTGTTGGTAGAGGATTCTATCTAAAAAGTTTTTTCTCAGTTGTTTGATCTAAAACACTCAAATTTTTGGAAAACTGTTGACTGACAGCCTTCTATTAGTTCTTTATGGATACTGTCAAGCGGCCTTCCTTAGTTATTGGGCTACTTAATTTCTTTTAGAAAATAATACGTTGAATTTATTGAATTTCACTTTATTTCAACCATATGATTTGGTAGTTGAGGTACATTCCGTATTCATGTGCATTTTTGAGCAACTTTCTGTATACCGCTTGGTATGTTTTGAAGTGTGTCAGTGGTTTAGTGGTAGAATGCTCTCCAACCGCGCACGTGGTTCGAGTTCTGTTTTCAGCCGACGGACGCATAAACCTCGATTACATGGTAGTAAGCTTAGTAAAGAGAGTGGGTTGGACATAAAACTAGAAACCCTCAAACTGAATATGTTCTGTACTGAAAATAAGTATACTGTTCAGAATAAAGCCATTATCATCACGAAAAATGTCATAACAGTTTCCGGTTAATGTGGGATATTACATTTCTCATTCAGTCAGTTACATTTTTATATCTCTCAAATTTGAATAAGATAAGGCCGCCTACTGTCTCCAATGATTGTCCTGATTGCGGTAGACTGCATAATGCTACAGATAGCCGGCAGTGAGGAAACAGGCGTAAAATGGACCCACACAAAAAACTCGGAGGATCTGGACTTCACCGATGATATATGTGCGGTTTCCCACAAACTGGAAGATATGCAAGTGAAAAGCAACAAGTTGGCAGAAGAAGCATCCAGAGAAGATATGACTTCAGGTGAACATAGAGAAAACAGAGGTGATGAAGATTCCTGGCTAACAGCAACAACAACAAACAACAATCAGCATAAATGGGAGGATTCTGAAGCAACCTCCTTTACCTTCCTTGGAAGCATCGCTTCAACTACAGGCTGAAGGAACTGATGAGGATATCAAAGCGAGGATTGATAGGGAAAGCAAGGCAAGCTTTCATTACTCTCAAGTCTGTTTGGAGATAGGTCAATTGCACTCAACATGAAAGGGAAGATCCGGGTTTTCAAATCCAATGTGAAATCAGTGCTACTTTACAGATCAGAGACTTGGCGCGTCACGAAGACCACTTCGGACAAACTACAAACCTTCATCAATAGCTGTCTTCACCGAACACCACTCAACATCAGATGGCCAGAAAAGATCAGTAACAGGGATCTCTGGCAATGAGCGAACCGCCACAGCAGGAACCGATTGAGAAACAAATAGGCAGGAAGAAATGGAGGTGGATTGGCCATACTTTGAGAAAATCGCCAAGTGATAATACACGCCAGGTCATCGCTCGAGTGGAACTCGAAGGGGAAGCGGAGAGTTGGTCGTCAGTGCGAGGGTGACTGGGAGGAGGTCATGTGAAGAGGAGATGGAAGCATGTGGCCAGACGTGGAGCCAGGTGAAAACGCTGGTGGAGAACCGAAAACAATGAAGAAGTGTGGCTGAAACCTTTATTTCATCACAGGGCAGCAGTGTGTGTGTGTGTGTGTGTGTGAAACTTACACTGTGTTATTAGTTGAATTCCTACGCAAAGATATACGCTGCTAAAAAGAGTTACAAATTAGGACGGCATAGTCATGCAGACTTCAATAACTGATGTAGGTTTTTATGAAGGTGTCTCCACTGATCATAAAGATAATAACAAATTCATTTGTTTTTTGTTTATTCTTTCCTTCACTCTTGTCTCCAATATGTTTTTTGACCCAGTTTTCTCCTATACATATGTTTGTATTATATCTATACATATATATCCCATAAATCATTTGCGACGTCCAGTCTGATGACTAATTGAAAACTTTATTTTGCATATATGCTGACTTATTTACCGGACTATACATTGTCTACAGTTGTGTCTGTGTTTCGGTATGTTTATTTTAGATATTTGATGTTGCAGGACAGTTCAAAGGGGACAGTATTATTTTTTTTTTAATAAGCTATATATGTGGAGTTCCCACTGTTGAAAACTGTTACTATTATTACTCCTATATAGTTATGTTTTGTTCACACACATACACACAGTTTTTCTATAATGAGAAAGCATTCAAACGATTCGAATGATGATAGGAGGTGAGGTGAAAACCTGGACTGAGGGTTGTTCACCTCTGATTGGCTTTCTGACAATCTATATCTCTGGTAAACATCCGATTTAAATCTTATTTGGGATTAGCTATCATCAAGAATACAGAATCCACAGTATTTGGTATGCCATATTTTGCTCAGGTGATCTATAGAATCTGACCTATACTTTTGAGCATATGCTTACAATGATGATTTGAACTTTACCTTCAGGCTCTTGGTGTGAAGTAATGTCTGATGTATGAATGCATAGATATTATTATTATTCCCTTGGTTTCTGAGTGGAACATAGGGCTTCAACAACACATCTCCACTTTCTTCTATTCTCTGCTATCCTCTTCAACTGGCTAACCACACGATTCCCCATAATCTCTCACCTCCTCCAACTCTCACGATCTCTGTGTCATCCTTGCACCAACAACCCACTCATCGCTTTTCACTGGAATTCCACTCCAGTACTGGACTGGCGCACGATGTCATTGGATGGCCTCCTCAACGTATACCCTATCCATCTCCATTTTCTCCTACGTATTTGTTGCGCAATCGGCTATTGGTTGGTTTATCGCCAGCCAGAGTTTCTTGTTACTAATTCTTTCTAGCCATAATGTATACATATACACCCACTGAATTACAGTTTTGATTTCCAAATGTACACTACTCACATGGGACTAGGTTGATTCTTACATTTGTTTATTTTCTTTTGGTTTCAAAAACCTGATATAAACAAAGAAAGTGGTAATCAATTACAAGGATCCAATGAAATTTGGATGCAATTTGACTGAAATCATACTTGATCGATTTTAGTTTCGTTTTTTTCCTCATTCATAATAAGTTTCACATGGACTCATCTTTTTTTCCTGTGTTAATTATGAAGTGAAAGGAATGAAAGGTTTTCGTTTTGAGGTTTAGTTTTTCGTCTTTGAATTGTCCTTCTCCCAAGGTCACGTGCCTTGAACAAATGCTATTTAGCATTTATGATAATTCCCTTCAAAATTTACTGTTTTAATTGATTTAATCAGTAGGAAGGATCATATGAAAAGTAACAATGAAGTGACTAACCACTAAGTTGAACGGTAATATGACACTTGGAAGTTGTATATACAAATGGCGACTGGTTTTTTCCTCCTCTGAACTTTCTAGTGCTCTACTAACTCTCAAAGATATGAAAAGCTGAAGGTATTGATCTCCGACTGAATGCACCGTTTCTTTCCAATATAGGCATATGTAACAAGACTGAATAACTTGTCATTACTGATCTCTCATTTGACAATAAATTGCTGTAAAAGATTCTATTGAATTGGTTGCCAATAACTTGACATTTAAGTCATTTCTTATCAGAGTGATTTAAACGGATGCTGTCATTTTATTAAATAGGCGTCTGATCACTATACTGTCTGTTTCATATAGTGGTTTTCCTTAAGAAGGAAGAAGAATAGTTCCATAGATGATTTGTTTATTGTGGTGTCAGTTTTCGGAAATGTCCAACTCTACTGATACAAACTATTTAGATGTAACTGCTTAGATTTATTACAATGGATATGTCCTTAAGTTTGTGTGGCGTCAATCAATTCAGCAGTGAAATACAGATATTTGTTCTCTAACGTGGTTGATTTAATTGCAAAGCTTTCGTTGTCCTCCTAGACAACCTATTCACAGCGCAAGCTTTAATAGGAACTGAAGTTAACTGGATGGTATAATTGTATTTTCTGAAAATCTTTGCGGTGATTGGTTGTTAATTTGCATTAGTATTGATCGTTCTCAATAACTTGGAATCTGATGTTTTTCGCTTCTTCTTTATCAGACAACTTATAATAGCGTGTCTGTAATGGTTGAAGACAAGAGACTTGGTAAAGAAATGTTTATTGGAATTTGGTATCTCTACATAGAGAAATTTTGTACACCTTATCTTCAATTCGCCATTTACACAGATCTCCGGTGTTATACTACTTCTGGCCTTCCTTCATAATGTGTTTCTTTATGTTCCTTTCACGTCTCCCGTGTCTCTCTGCAAGGCTGTATCATTTGCTTTCTCTGACGTCAAATATGTTTCTCTGTTATTTGGTGTTTTTATGCCGATGAATGTATCCTTTTATATACTACTGATAAATTTTATCAGTAGAACACGCCACGTATCTGCATGCATTGATATGAAATAATAGATATCTTGACTTCTTACAGATAATTTATGTTCTTGACCTCGTAGTCTAAAGGAACTCCTACTCTGACCAATGTAGTGCTCAGCACAGTTAATACAATTTATTTTGTAGGTTGTGTTGTCCTTATTCTCTTTTGGTTTGCATAGTAGTGAATGAATTGACTGTATTGATTTATGTGCTATGTCTATTCCGGATGGTTTTAGTATTCTAGCTATTATTTCTGAAATATTCCTCATATATGGTGGGCTATTCTCTTTTGAAGTTTAAATATTCTTATTATTACTATTCCCTTGGATCCCGAGTGCAAAATACGGCTTCAGTAGCTCATCACTATTTCATGTTGTTCTCAGGTTTTTTAAAAATCTGGTTCTTCAGTTGCCTGTAAGTTTTCACTTCCTCGTTACACAATCTCTTGCATACCACCCTTGTACCCATATTGATCTCGTCATCCCCCATGCAGGTTCCACTCGAAGGTACAGCTTTTGTTGTCACCCAACAGTCTCCTCAGTGTATGTCCAATTC